TATCAGTTTCCCAAGTGGTTATGCTATTGTATACTCTAACCAGCAGTGCATCTTTGCCAGCATTGGTGTTCTATTTTTAATTTTGGCTTTTTGGCAGGTGTGCACTGTTATTCCATTGAGGTTTTATTTTGCTTTTTCTTGATGAATAATGACACTAAGTATCTAGAATATTGGCTATTAGTATTCTCTTTTGTGAAATACCTGCTGAAATTTTTTTTGCCAGTTTGAAAATTGGATTATTCGTTATTTTGTTATAAGGAGTTCTTGGTATATGTTGAGTATAACTTTCTTGTTTGTAATTTTGATGCCATTGAATATATTAATTTTTTTCTCTTCTGAGTAGTTTTTTTTTTGCTTCTTGTTACTTACCTCAGATTTATTATTCTGTGTTTATTTTTAGAAGATTTATTATTTTTCATATTGAATGAGTTTCCATCTTGAATTAATTTTTGCATGTTATTTAAGAGAAGATTCAAGTTTTATTCTTACTTTGCCTACTTTTAAAAACTGTACCATTCCTGTTCATTGGGCATGCTGTTCTTTTGAACTGCATTAGTTCCTTTGCCATAAATAAAATTTATTGTATATGTATGGGCCTTTTTTGGTCTGTATTATATTTCATTCATTTGTTTATTTACTCCAATAGCATGTTGTCTTACTTAGTATTGCTTTATAGTAAGTCTTGAAATTTAAAGGTCTAAATAAGGCCTTCAACTTCGAGGTTTATAATTTTAATGGAAAGCTATTAAATATCTTGGCATATTATGTCATACAGATATCACTAGCTTTAACTTAATTTTTTAAAAATCTTGAAGATAGAGAATATAAGACTAAACGAACACAATAATAACTACATGCCCACTAAAATGTGAAATTATGTTCAACTCTTTTATTTTGCTAATTATAAAAGAAAAGTGAAGAAGTACCTATCAGAGTGAAAACAGTAAAGCTTCAATATTTAATGTTTGTGAGGTTGTCAGAAAATAGGCACTCTTCTGCATGCTTGGTAGCAATGGGAATTAGATTGGGCCCTCTGGAAGATCATTTAGCAATGTGTTTCAAACAGTAATTTTAATCATAAAATTAGAGCTATTAAAATGACTTTTTGTTAGCTGTAGACTTTCACAGATAATAACACCATCTAGGGGAATTAAAAAATTTGAGATAGAATCTTTATTTGCTTTTCTAGGGTAGTTAACAGTATTCAGTTTCTTTGACCGTTTTCCTTGAAGGGTGCTAAATTTTAGTGTTGTGATGGAGATTGTGACTGTTAAATGCCAGTAAAATATGTATACATGTTACTCCATTGGCTTCATGCTCAAGGAATTTATTCTCTTGATGAATGGAAAAGTCTTTTATTAGAGAACACTATCTGGCAGTTTGCATTAAAAATGAATAAAAATACAATGAAATACTCCAGTGTGCTGTTGACAAGATAAATCCTTTAAAAGACTAATGAAGGAAAGTATCAGTATTTGGCAATGTTATTGATATAGGCTTAAATGGACTAGGTGGATTTGAATTGGATTTTAAGGATAGGGTTGTATAGGCAGGGATAATGAATATGTTGAATTATATAGTGTAAACAAGTACGGAAGAGTGAGGAGATAAAAACGGTTATTGAATCTATTAATTTCCTTAAACTTTTTGTCTAATTTTCTAGGAATTCAGTTAATTACTAGAGATAGACACAGAAAGTTTAAATGTAAATGGTGTGTGCTTTTATGAACATATGTTCAGTTGCTTTTTGAGGTCTTTTGAATGTTTGCTTGAAGAATGGTGCTGATACTGTGTTGATGATATTACAAACTCTATTTTGGAAGCATAATTAAGTGCTAATTATAACATGAAAAAATAGGGAAAATTATGTTAATATTATGAATGAATATCAGTTAATGAACTATTTTCTAAAAAAGAACTTTCTTAATCTTTGGTTTGGAGAGACAGAATAAATGACTCAAGCTATGTACTCTCAATAGAAATTTAAGATAATTTATTTTATTTTTAAAATATGTAGGTGAAGATATTATTAGTTCATCAGGTGACTGAATAATAGTACAGTATTTTCTTTTCAATTCTACTGGCTTTATTTTAAAAGAGTAAATGATAAAACCTTGTTATGTTAAAATGTATTTTATTTGTTCATTCACCAAAATATACTGAGAGACTAGGATATTCCTGGAACTTTTCTGTGCTATAGGAAAATATTGCTGGACAAGAACATATGTAGTCACAGACTACTTGAACTATTGATTCAAAAATATTTTCTTGAATCCTCTGAAGCTTTTTGGACCATTGTTTGGTTCACTGGCCTAATTATTATCATTTTGTCTTTTTAGGCAGAGGTTTTCCCGTCAGGCCCTTTTGCATAGCCTGTGGATTTACCTTTGGGTCATGTTTCCATCTACAGTCCAGTCAGTTGTGGTTGCAGAGGTGTGTGGTACATGATGTTCCTCCCTCATATGGATTATAGGCTGGGCAGGTGTTCTCGTTTTCTCTTTAGATGTATTTAGGAACAGTGGCCTACCTAGCTAGCATGTAAAGCTTGTTTTCAAAAGAAAGTTAATATTTCGGCCCGGCGCGGTGGCTCAAGCCTCTAATCCCAGCACTTTGGGAGGTTGAGGCGGGTGGATCATGAGGTCAAGAGATTGAGACCATTCTGGTCAACGTGGTGAAACCCCGTCTCTGCTCAAAATACAAAAAATTGGCTGGGCATGGTGGCGCGTGCCTGTAGTCCCAGCTACTTGGGAGGCTGAGGCAGGAGAATTGCCTGAACCCAGGAGGCGGAGGTTGCTGTGAGCCGAGATCGCGCCATTGCACTCCAGCCTGGGTAACAAGAGCGAAACTCCGTTTCAGTTTCTAGTCTGCCAAATAAAATAATCACCATTTATTAACTCAGTCTACTGGATTCTTTTTTATTCTTTTATATTTTTAAGTCAATTTATGAATAATACAGAATAGTGAAAAGCCACTTTATTAGAAGTTTTAATGCAAATTTAAGCTTGGAAAACCTGATATGTCAAGTAAATTTTGCTGCACAAACATCATAAAAGATCAAAGAGTGTTGTCACACTTTCACCTTTTTTTAAAAATGGCAAAACCACGTGATCAAGGTTGTTACAGAATAGTGCATGAAAAAGTACTTTCAGTTGAATGACCAACTGGAGGAGAATACTGTGTTTCCTTTTTTTGTCCATAGAAATATATTGTTCACTCAATTCTTAATACTCAATACTGTATCCATATAGGATATTATAATTAGTCTGATATATCATGTAGGTGATTGTATTGCCATGTTTATTAGAGTCTAGAGTGCTGATGTCTCTTTGTACTTACCTTTTCATGTATCTAATCATTATATCTTTCTATGTCAATGTTTTCTCTTTTCTATAAGTGAAAGAAAATGAAAACTATTGAATGAGTGAATGTAGGAAATGCATACTAGATATATGTCTCCAAGCCTTTTAAATACCTTCTTGAAAGATGAGGCAACAATTTGGGCAACACAATATAAAAACTGGATCATAATTTATTTCACTGTGGCACCAACTCTGTAGGACAGGGATTTGTGAACTTTACCTTGTTGGCTGCCTGTCCCTGTTTTTGCAAATGAAGTTTTATTGGAACATGGCTGTGTTTGGTCATTTACAAGTGGCTACTTTTACACTACAATAGCAGAGTTGAATAGTGGGAAAGATAATGTGGCTCACAAACCTAAAATATTTACAGGCTGGCTCTTTAAAAAAATGTTTGCCAACCTCTTTTCTAGGATATTGTCTCATTTTCTCTTTTTTAAAATATACTTTTTATTTTAGCCTTAAATGTTTTTTAGTATGTAGGGTATAATTGAATGATGAGTATTGATGAAATAATACCTAGGATTATGAAATAACTGTTTCAATATAGAGGAAAAATAAGATAAGATACTATCTTATATTTATAAAAAGATTCAGTGAATCTGTATGATATCTGCAAGATGGAATGAGTTCTATTTCATTACTAAAGAATATAGTAATACGCTGTTTTTTTTGGGACAACTCTAAGAAGGAATAAAAATACATCCGTGAAGACTTGATCATGAAATATTAACCCTTAGAAATAGTTAAATATACTAAGAAAAAAAAACTCTCGTAAACGAAAATTGAACACAATACATTGTGATGATATAACAAGGGCTAATTCTCATAAATTCATACATTGTTACCTTATATCTTTGAAAAGCCCTATTAAAAAAAGTATCCAAACTGTCTTGGGTTTTTTTCTCACAAGAACATTACACAAGTTAAGGTTGTGATTCTCCTCCCAACTTAGTTTACTGCTTATCCCACATTATTCTCACCTATTGAATCATGTGGCATGGGCTATCATAATTTAGCTTAAGTTTTTTAAAATTATAAATCACAGGTATTATAGCACAGATTTTTATTTTTAAGATAGATATTTTGACTTCACTTTTATTTTGTCCAGAGTGTTAAGAGCTTTTTGATTTTTCATTTTGTTTTTTAAAAAACAATATACCTGATTGTATCACTGAAGTTAAGAATTCACCACTATGAAAACTATGACAGACTAAGGAGTAATTTGGAAGTATTATATACATGTCATGTTCAGATTTTGGTGTGAGAAATACATGTTTTAATCTTTTAATTTCTATGTTTACTTTACCATTTTAATGTCTATTATTTTAGCCAAGGTTTTAAATTTGTATTGAGACACATAATAGCTGCTTTTAAAATTTGATTACAAAAGCATGAAAATTTGTATTCTCATAGAAAAATTTCCCTTGCACAGTAAACCTAAATATTTAAGTTAGGTGAATAATTTATATTCTTAACAATTAAAACTCAAGTAAGTTATAATTTTAAGAAGAGATTATTAAACCAAGATATATTTTGTATGTACAAAGTCAGCAGAACTATTAACATAAACTATAATCTGCTTTTTAAAAAAAGTATAATACTGAAGAAATAGTTATAAATACTTTGTCTTTATTTTTTAAGGCAAGAGGCGCAGATGTTCCTGAGATTCCTGGAGATCTTACTCTTAAGACGTGTGGCAGTACAGCCAGTATGAAGGTTAAGCATGTGAAAAAGTGAGTATAGCTTTACAGTGGGTTCTAAATGAATTCCTATAAATGGAAATAAATTCTTTAGTTTTCTTAATACTTTTATTTAGACTTTTTACAAAAATATATTCTCATTGCACAATTGTTAATTCTAAAATTATGACTCAGCAGTTAGTGGAATAGGTCTACAGCTTATCCACTCATCTAAACTATATTTTATTTTTGTTCTTGAAGCAGCTTATGTCATTTTCTGTTATGTTGTATTTATTTGAAAGGAACAATATGACTATGTCATTCTTGGTACCCTTAGTGCATGCTCTCATTCTTTTAGAAATACCATCTTTATTGTTTGAATTATGAGTTTGTTAGATTTCAGGTTTACCTTTGAGAAGCATGAAATAGATGCCAAGAGTTGACTGTTAAGTAAAATACAGGTTGAGCATCCCTAATCTGAAGATATGAAATCCAAAGTGCTCCAAAATGTGATATTTTTTGAATGCCAGCATGGTAGCACAAATGGAAAATTTAACACCTGACCTTATGTGAGTGTTTGCAGTTAAAACTTTGTTTCATGGACAAAGTTATTTAAAATGTTGTGTAGTATTACCTTCAGGCTCTGTTTAAAATGTATATGAAATATAAGTGAATTTTGTGTTTAGACTTCGGTATCAGCCCCAGGATATCCCATAGATATATGCAAATATTCCAAAATCTGAAAAAATCTGAAACCCAAAATTCTTCTGGTCCTAGTCATTTCAAATAAGGGCTATTATTCATCCTGTACCTGAAGGTATCAGTTTTAAACAGGAAAACCATCATTTCACTTGGTAGAGTTAGATAGCTATGCTTCATGTGTAAGTAGAGGAAAGACAAGGATAAAAATGTTCATTCTGCGTCCAGGTCCACCACTCCAGGACTGATGGGCTGTGACAACATTCACAGGTAAAATCTGGTTTCATACTTTGTGTTGGGAATGCTGCTTCTGGTTAGAAACTGGCTCTTCACAGTTTCCATAACATTTGCTGAAAGTAGCAGTATTTCAATGGACATTGACTTGGGTCAAAATTAGGAGATTTTGGTGATGCTTTTATTTTTTATTTTCATCTGTACAGTAAATATACTACTCATTTGATTCAGTATATTTTTAAGAGGATTTGTGTGGATATGTGTGGCTCATGCGCATGTGCTCATTAAATATTTTTGCTTGCATGAGCTCTTAAATCCATTGTGTTTTCCCCTTAAACTTAGTAATTTTTACTATTTCACTATCTTGTTTCTTATTTATTTCATGTGTTTCAGATTACCCTTCACTAAAGGTCACTTTCCAAAGATGGCTGAATGTGCGCATTTCCATTATGAGAATGTTGAGTTTGGCAGCATACAGGTATATTGAAATATTTCTTTCATCGTGAATTAAGATTTACACATCTACCTTTATATGCTTATCTATATATCTATATCTAATAGAAGACACTTTGAAGTAGTTTTTTTAAATTGATGTCTTATTGGTGAGGTAAAAACTTTTATTCTCTTCTATTCACAAATACTTGATGTCAAGTTGACATATAAAAGTAAACATCAGCCAGGCGCGGTGGCTCACGCCTGTAATCCCAGCACTTTGGGCGGCTGAGGCGGGTGGATCACGAGGTCGAGAGATGGAGACCATCCTGGTCAACATTGTGAAACCCCGTCTCTACTAAAAATACAAAAAAATTAGCTGGGCACAGTGGCGCGTGCCTGTAATCCCAGCTACTCAGGAGGCTGAGGCAGGAGAATTGCCTGAATCCAGGAGGCGGAGGTCGCGGTGAGCCGAGATCGCGCCGTTGCACTCCAGCCTGGGTAACAAGAGCGAAACTCCGTCTCAAAAAAAAAAAAAAAGTAACCATCACACTAACATCTATCAGTTAAGGAAAATCAATCCTGTCCCCCTTTCTTTTCCTATATCACGTCCTTATGTCCATGGCTTTGTGTAGTGACTTTTTATTGAATCTAACTTGACATCAAGCTAAATACTTTGCTCTTATTATGTCATTGGCAGCTTAATGTGAAAAAACTGTAAAACCTTTAAAAATAGCCAGATGGTGGTTATCTTAAAAATTACATTTTCCCAGGAGAACAAAGCCACTCTTTATGTTGTCTTTGAAATAGGCTAATAGAAAAAACAAAGGCTTGATTTCTACCAAAACATTTCTATCAAAGTCTTGATTTCACCTCCTGTCGTTGCCCTAACTCCACCCTCTCTCCAGAAGAAAACTCATGAGACATGATTGATTGGTTTCACAGTGTGCTGCTTTTTGTAATTTTATAATTACATGAAATTACACTTGTAATTTCATAAACAAGTGAGATTAATTAGATATGTAGGATTTATGAAAGTGAAGAACATTTCTATTTCAGATAAATTGACAGTGTATGCTGTGACATCAAACAGAGGATATTTTGTTCCATTAGTGTGTATATCCTTGAGAATGCAGTTCTCATGATAAATTTCCTAGGTCAGGAAGAGCTGATTAAAGAAACAGTCATGAATACATTTTTCACTTTGTGACTATTAAGCATTTGATCTATCTGTTTGAATGATTTAGTTTACTCAGCTTGCAATTTAGGTACATTATTTGCTACTTAATTTATTTTGCTTTTTTAAAAAAAATCTTTACAAGGTTGAATGAGCTCTTTTGGAGGCAGTAAACGCTGCAAGGAGTTTAGCAACACGAAAAGAAATAGGAGGCTAGAGATCTAAAACCAGACCAAAAAATATAGAAATGTTAACATTAAATGAAAGGTCAGGAATTCTCTAAAGTGTCTTATTTAAATAAAAACAAAACTATTATGGTAAACATTGTATAATGGAATAGAAAAGCATTGGTCTTAGCTCACAAACATAGATTCTAATTTTCTTTTTGCTTCTTAGGAAGTTTTTGACCTTGGGCAAGTAGCTTAGCCTCTTTGGTTTTATTTCCTTTATGAGTTGAATGGGATTGTACTAAATAGTATCATAGTTCTAAACTTTTATTATTTTATATTTAAAGAGTTTATAATGGCTGCATTGAGGATGTGGTAGAGAATAGACAGTTGTTCCTCAGCTGTGTTTGGCTCTCCTGAGATTTCGTTAAATGCCTGCTATTAGAGTCCAGTCCTCTTAATTGGAGAACTGTGTCTAATTTTTATGGGGAGAACACATTAGGTAGACTTTCTACCGGTGAATAGACTGTAATCTTCATTTTAGAGGGTCACACCATGTTTCACTTTCTCCATTGCACTTACTTCAACCCTGCAAAACATTCCATTATTCAGGCAGAAGAGGGAAAAATGTGATACTAACTCAGTTTGTGACCCTGCATATATGAGGTGTTTGAGTGAGATGTTTCAGAATTGTATTGATTGAACAGGAGGCCTCTGGAGTATGGAAGATAGAGGTGGTTCAAAGAAAATCAGCCCAGCTGCACCTTGCTGAGCCACATCAGAATCTCCTTTCTGTGTTGACTGTGCTCTGTTTGGCACACCTCTCCTGCCAAATAGAGCAGTCAACTGTGTTGTCTTGCCTCTGTTCTGTGTCTTTGAAGACTGGCCTCTATATACCACATCTACCAGTTTTGCTTGCTTTCTGCTTCTGGATGAATTTAGCCCATTTCAGATACTATCAGGAGGAAAACGTTAATTTCCATTAACTGAATTGCACAGCAAAAGAACTGTAATAGCATCCTGGCTTGACTTACATGCTTATGTCTTTTTATCTTGGGTTGCAGTTCTCCCTTAGGCTGGTATGAGGTTTTTACATTTTTATGGACTGATTGAATTCCATTTAAGGAAAAACAAAACCAATAATGTTAACCTCTAAACAATCCTATGTTCTGTTTGTTACAAGCAGTTAAAATAAAGTTGATATATCTTAGTTGTTATTCTTTATCATTTTATAATCATCTTGCTTTTTACATAGGTAAATCTTAGCACATTTGATTCTAGACATATTTATGGAAAATGAATCCTTTATTTTCAATATAAGGTTGGAATATGTTTTAAAGAGAAAACAAGTAAGAAAACTTAGTAAAAGCTATCAATAGTAGATAATCAGTTGTATGCTGGGCCACTCTAGTATAAACCAGTAGGTTATTCATACTGTCAATTGGCCAACTTTGTTTTTGCTTTTTAATAAGTACCAAATTGTGGGATATTCTGCAGCCATATACCTTTTCTTTTTTACTCTGATCTTAGACATTTCTCTTAGATTTACAGATGTATTGTCTTTATATTTATAGCCCTTCCTTTTCTTCAGATCTTCAAAATTTACAATTGCAGTTGGCCATTGTATTCTAGTATGACAGAAGATGTTAACATCTTCTAAATTTTAAAAATCCAGATGAAATAATCCTTAACTTTGGGGCTGTTAGTTCTGAAATGAAATAGTTATTTATAATCCTGTGTGTTAGAAATTCCAATGACCAATTTTATTTAGTCTGAAAGACACAGTTGCTTAAAAAACAATTTAGACATAAGTCATTACTTTTACTGGGTCAGTGCTGTCATTACCATATAATGACATATAATGTACAAAGGATATTTTTATGATCTCTCCTTTGAATTCCAGCCTTGTACATCCAGCTAACCACCCTGCATCTTCACTTGGATTCCTAGTAGCACCTCAGTCATTGTGGCGTGCCCAGAACAGTCTTTCAGGCCTGCACTTTAAAAAAACTCTCTGGTTACTTCTATCTTGGTAAACAGCAACTCTATCCTTTCAGTTCCTGAGGCCAGCCAAGAACCATGGAGCATCTTGGACTTCTCTCTTTCTGTCATTCCTCATTTGGCTTCATCTTTAAAATAAATCCAGAATCTAGCATGCCCACCTGTTTCTCTGCTATCACTTTACACTAAAGCATTGTCTTGGGGAGGATTATTTCAATAGCTTTCTATAGTTGGCACAGCAGCAAGAACGAATGATTCTTTTCTAAGTCCAAGCATGTCACTTTTAAAAAACTCTCTGGTTACTTCTCATCTTATTCAGAGCAAAAACCAGATTTCTTAAACTTTTCTACAAGGATTTACAGAATGCATCCTTACCTTTCTGACCTCATCTTTCTTCTCTTCCCCTCAGACAGGGTGATCCAGCCACAGTGGCCACTTTGTTTTCTGCCAGTATGCACATCCCCTTCTCAGGGCCTTTGTACTTTTTGTTTCCTCTACTTAAAAAATGCTTCTCTAGGAGAGCCACATACCTTGCTGCCTCCCCTTTTAAAAGTACTTACTCCAGTGCTGTCTTTTTAGACTGCTCCTTCCTTAAGTAAGATTGCAGTTCTAGTCACCAGCATTCCTCATCTCCCTCTTGTTGTTTATTTCCCTTCATACCACTTAAAACTATTTGGCCTGCTAAATATTTTATTATTTATTTTCTTCCCCTCAACATCTAGAACAGTGGTTGACACATAAAAACTACTCAATAAATATTTGTTGAATGAATAATAGATGAATGAGATGAATGGACAAATGAGTTTATGTTCGAAGAAGAGATAAAATTGGTTTTTAAATGCTGTTTAACTGATTCATTTTTATTAATCATTTTAAATTTGTTTTTATGTGATAAGAATATATATTCCTTATGCGTGTTTATATTAAAACAAATTATGTAACCATCCTGTTTAAGTCTCAGTTTGGTACCTTCAGTTGTAATGTGTGGTATAGTTGTAAGGTGCATATAGTATTATGCTCAGGAGATAGGAACTGGTGTGGTGTAGAATGGGTATGGCCAGCTGGTAGTGTGTTCTCATCGAGCCATACTCTCTTAATCACTGGTTAGATCTGCAGTTAGTCTTAGTCTTGCTTTCCTTATCTTTACACTGAAAAGGAAGTACATATCCTGGATATACTAGAATACTAGGTGACAGCTAATGTTCCTTCGAGCTAAGAAATTGCAGAGGAACTGTAAGTTCTGATTGAACTGAGGTTGTGATAAGGTGAAGAAGAAAATAGATATAAAAGCACAGGGGAGGAGAGATTGTACCATGCCATATTCTTATTTTAGTCTAATAAGCTATACATATCTGTAAAAATTAGTACAGATAATTGCTCATGTCATAGAAGTAGCTTCTTGGAACATCTTTATATTTCTGGGATACATTATGCTGAGATGTGTGTGTGTGTGTGTGTGTGTGTATTCCTTTTTTTTTTTTTGGAGACGGAATTTTGCTCTTGTTACCCAGGCTGGAGTGCAATGGCGCGATCTCGGCTCACTGCAACCTCCGCCTCCTGGGTTCAGGCAATTCTTCTGCCTCAGCCTCCTGAGTAGCTGGGATTACAGGCACGTGCCACCATGCCTAGCTAATTTTTTGTATTTTTAGTAGAGATGGGGTTTCACCATGTTGACCAGGATGGTCTCGATCTCTCGTGATC